GGCCACACCTGAATATTGTGTGCAGTTTTGGTCTCCTTTTCTGAGGAAGGATGCTCTTGCTCTCAAGAGAGTGCAGTGATTCCAGGGATGGCGGGACTGATATATGAGGAGAGATTGACTAAGTTAGGATTGTTTTCGCTAGAGTTCAGGTGAATGAGAGGGATCTCATAGGGACTTATAAAATTCTAACAGGACCGGACAGGGAGGATGTTCCCGACGTTGGGTGTGTCCAGAGCCAGGGGTCACAGTATGAGGGTTCAGGATAGACCATTTAGGACGGAGATGAGGAGACACTTCTTTACCCAAAGAGTGGTGAGCCTGTGGAATTCATTGCCACAGGAAGTAGTTGATGCCAAAACATTGAATGTATTCAAGAGGCGACTAGATACAGCACTTGGGACGAATGGGATCAAAGGTTATGGGGAGAAAGCAGGATTAGGCTATTGAGTTGGACAATCAGCCATGATCATGAAGAATGGCAGAGCAGGCTCGAAGGGCCGAATGGCCTCCTCCTGCTCCTATCTTCTATGTTTCTATGTTTCTTCGGTCCAACCAGTCCATGCTGAATGTAATCCCAAACTAAACTAGTCCCACCTGCTTGTGTTTCAAATCTTTCCTATTCATGAACTTATTCAAATGTCTTTTAAATGTTGTAACTGTGCCCACATCCAACACTTCCTCTGGAAGTTCATTCCACACACGAACCACCCTCTGTGTAAAAATATTGCCCTTCATGTCTTTTGCAGATCAGCAATCACACGACACCAGGTTATAGCCCAACAAGTTTATTTGAAACCACAAGCTTTCGGAACGCTGCTCCTTCATCAGGTGGCTTCACGAAGGAGCAAGGCTCCGAAAGCTTGTGATTTCAAATAAATCTGTCGGACTGTAACCTGATGTCGTGTGACTTCTAACTTTGTCCACCCCAGTCTAATACTGGAATCTCCACATCAACATTCAGTTAGACCGCAGGTTCCTGTAGACTGGGAAGGACAATTGCCTAAAAAGTGACAACAAGAACATTTTACCAAATTTTAAGTGACAATAAACAATCTGGAGAGACTTTGAATGAACACAATATATATTCTTAAATAATGTTCATCACTGACTGAGTAATGCCCATAAAATCCTGAATCCAGAAGCGTCTGGTGAGGCCACAGCTGGAATATTGTGTACAGTCATGTCCCCACACTTTAGGAAGGATGTGAGAATACTAGGATTTTTCCGGAGGTTTCCATGGTCTGTTTTCATTTCTTGTAGTCCAGTCCCATCCAATCACAGAAAAGCACAAAACTGCTCACAGGTGAAGACCAGGGCAGAGGGTTTCACAAGAATCTATTGAATAGGAGAAGTCTTCCAAATGTGATCCACAGAAACCAAGTCAACCCATCACAACCTTCAATGTGTGCTCCTCAAGGTCAAAGTTCACAATCCCCAATAATCGAGAATCTTCATCCCCTTCTCATGTCTCTGGTATTCACCCATGGATTGCTGCACTCAATCAAAAATCCATCCTCTCTCTCTCTCTCTCCCCCATCCCAGTTTGTCAGACCTGTCCAAATCTGTCTATTCCTGCCTGTCTAACCCACCAACCTGAAAACATTTTGTTCCTGAAATTCCACGAACCATCAGTTGGTGCCTGGCTGGAACAGTATTGAAAGATTGTGATTTCCCCTTTCTAATGAGTTGCCTTGTGCTAGGGAGGAGTGGGGGACGGGCTGTGAACATAAGCATTGAGACACTCGGCCCCTTGACCAGTTCCACCATTCTATAAAATCACGGCTGAATTGGTTGTGTGTGGAGTTCCACATTCATTTTTTTATTTATGGAACCCCGACAGTGTGGAAGTAGGCCATTCAACCCATCGAGTCCACATCTCCCCCCCCATACTTCCCATGGCTAACCCGCCGAGCCTGCATACAACAGGACACTACAGGCAATTTAGTACAGCCAATCCACCTACCTGCACATCATTGGAGTGTGGGAGGAATCCCATGCATATACAGGGAGAACATGCAGACTCCACACAGACAGTCGCATGAGGATCGAATCAAACCCTGAGTCCCTGGCGATGTGAGCAGCAGTGTTAACTACTGAGCCAGCGTGCTGCCCAACTCTTCCTTAATAAGCCTCAATTCCCTGCCTAACAAGAATGTATCTACCTCTGTCTTAAAGCACTCAATGACCCCAGCTTTCCAGGTCTTCTGGGGCAGAGAGTTCCAAAGATGCACATCCCTCTGAGAGACAAAACAAATCTCCTCACATCTGTCCTGAAAAGGGTGACTCTAATTTTAAAATAGCAACCCCTTGTTCTCAACTGAACCCCCCGGGAGGAAACATCCTTCCCACATCCACCTTGCCAAGACCATTCAGGATCTTACACACTTCAATCCAGTCACCCCTGACTCTTTGAAAGGCTAGGGGAAACAAGCCCAGTCTGTCCAACCTTTCCTCCTCAGATAAACTTCTAATTCCAGGGATCAGTTAATAAACCTTCTGTGAACCGCCTCCCGTGTACTCACATTATTCCTTAAATAAGGAGACCGACACTGCACACAGTATTTGAGGTGAGGTCTCACCAATGTCCTGTATAATTGAAGCTTAATATCCTTACTTTCACATTTAATTCCTCTGGTAATAAAGGACAGTATTGCATTAGCCTGTCTGATTATATCCAAACGCTGATCTTCTGTGATTCATGGTCTAGGACACTCAGGTCCCTGTGCACCTCAGGATTCCGCAGTCTTTCTCTGTTCAAGTAATACTTTCTTATTCTTCATGACAAAGTGTACACTCCATACATTCCCGCATTGGACTCCATCTGTTAGATTTTTACCCACTCCCCTCAACCTATCAATGGGTGTTGCATTGTTCATCTGGTTCCAAGTCAACTCTGTGAGATTGTAGGAACCTCAGCAAAATTCTATATTCTATCAGAGAACCCTTACAGCATGGAATGAGACCATTCGGCCCTTGTGTCTGTGCAAGCTGTTTGAAAGAGGCATCCGATCAATCCCACTCCCATTTCTCTCTCCCAATAATCCTGGGAAATCTTTCTCTTGATGTACTTACTCATTTGCTTTGGAAGTTAGTGTTGAATCTGCTTCCACCATCCTGTCTGCTGTCATTCTGTGATGAATTTCACGTGCAAGTTGCAAGTTTCTCACACAGCATTTCTACACAAATGAGTCAGAAGTAAGGGTAAAATGGAATCGTCCAACAGGGTGGACCCAGCGGGGAAATAAATTTCATTTGGACTGTCTTTCTAGTAAAAGGAGACTGATTGATGTAGCTTCATGAGGCAGATTCCCATTACCCCATAGTGAGAGTGTCTCAGAACATACTGTGGTAGAGACAAGCAGGTGGGAACAGGGGTGGGAGAGGGGGGGAGTTGGATGTGTCTGAGGGGGTCGAGGAATCTATGTTCAAATTGCTTCTCTGGATCGTTCACCCTTATCATTGTCCACAAATTCAAAATACAGGTTTATAATAATGACATCTCAGTGTCTGGAGAGAGATTGACCAAAGCTGAGAGAATTATAACTCGTTTCGATCCATGCCCAGTGCACAACTCCCTTCCCAATCAGAGTGAAACTCTTCACAGTTCAGTCACTGACCTGAATGCCATTGAGTTTGCAATTTCCGGGAACTAAAGGTCCTCACTTTTTGTGAGTCACATCTATATAAATAAGTTGCTGTTCAGAAAGGACTGATATTTCATCCTTAACGTCAACAACAATTTATTATAATGTCACGTTTTTATTGCAATGAAACATTCTAAAGTGTTTCATAAAACATTATGAATCAAACAATGACACAATGCCACAGACAAAAGCAGATATTAGGTCAGGTGACCAAGAGTGTGGTTAGAATGCTCAGGTTTTATAGGAGGGAGTTGGTGTGTGGCAAGGGTGAGAAACGTTAGTAAGGGAATTCCAGTGCTTAGGTAAAAACTCTTTCATTATCGTTAAAACTCAGGCACCACACAATCAGCTCGTTTGCGAAACCACAAGCTATACAGAACAAGCCTGCTTTATCAGAGGGACCATCTCTATTTACGGTCCACTAATACAACAGAAAACAAGACCCAAACCAGGCAGGTGTCAAAGTCTAGAAACAGCACCAGACTTCCCTGTCAGGCTGCATTCAAGGTAGTGGGCATTAAAAATAAAACATGCTGGAAATGGTGAGACAGTCAGGATTGTTCCAGCTATCTTCAGCAATTTCTGTTTTGATTTCATATTTCCAGCATGCACAGGATGATCCAAGGTTTCTGCTCCACCCTCTGTGTGTGTGGGAATGAGAGAGTGAGATTGTGTGTTCCATGTGCGTGTGTGTGTGCACGTGTGTGTGTGTGTTTGTGGGTGTCTGTGTGTGAGGGTGTGTGTGTTTGTGCATGTTAGTGGAGTCCATGTGAGAGTGTGTGTGTGCATGTGTGTGTGAGAGAGTGTGTGTATTTGTGCTTGTGTGTGTGTGTGTGTGTTTGTGTGTGTGTGTGTGTGTCTGTGTGTGTGTCTGTGTTTGGGTGGGACATCAGGTTGGGATCGCTCTGATGTTATTATCACACTGTCCCCTCCCAGTGATATCTGTGTTTTGTTTCTCTCCCTTGTGTGACAGTATTTATTCATTCACCTGTCATGATTCAGAAACTTGCAATGGGAATCCTTGCATATTGTGACTGAAACTTACCAGCTCACTGTAGATAATTGCTTGCAGGGAAGTTGTTCATTGTTGCTCTGTAATCTTGTAATTACATGGCTGTTTAATGAATTCCAATTATTGATTTCCACTTATTTAACATTAGGTAATCTTGCCTAAATGTTTAGTGAGAATATTACAGAGAGAATAATAATTCAGTGGGTTAGTTGTGTATGAACTGCTATTTGTGGTTCTCAGTCACCCAATGGAGCAGGAAAATTTTAATTGTGTTCTTTCTCTGAAACATGATGTGTTTGTGTTCCTCAAATGTTGAAACCTTTTTGTTTCTGTTCCATTTTCAGTTTGATGGGGACAATATGTACATGAGTCTGACAGATGCCAACCAGGATTACCTTCCTGCCAATCAAGTGAGTGAACAGAAGTTTATCATTCCCATCCTTCCCATTCCCTCCTTTCTTCTCTCATGTAGAATCCATGTTGTATAAATCCTGAGGAGGAGTTCGGCTTTCTGTCTGGTTGGAATGTTGATGAATTTCACAGCGGAACACTCCAACCAGGAGCAAATCCACTGCTGAGACTCATGGGCCTTGTTTTTAGATAAATCTGCAGTTTTCTAAAAACGTAGATCAGGGGCTTTGCATCCCTAAAAAACCGACTTCAAAATGCATTGATAATGTGCAAGGCAGCCAGTTCCTGCACACACAAATGACTCTCCGCTACCTCGCTCTGCATTCACCCCCACATCCCACCCAGTAAGCAGCTCAGCTAACCCCACCCCCGAAAGGGCCAGGCAGATAGCGAACCTGACCTCAGTATCCCTGCCCATGCTAAACAAGCGGATCAATCTCTTCAGGGCTGAATGGCCTCAGACAGTAGCTTATCAATGCAGCCTCTGGACCCGAAGATTGCTGGCTTGATCAGGTTGCCAACCCTCCAGTGTTTGTCCAGGAGTCTTCAGGAGTTTAAGACATATTCCAGGAACCACAGGAAAATCATAGATCAGGCACTAAAGAAACTGGCATCAATTTTCCCAGAACAGTTTTGGCTGGTGGTTATAGATGAACTGGCAATCAGAAAAAGCTCGCTTGTCTCTGAAGTCCAAAATTGTCAATTGGTCAACTTGCTTTGCAACATCCAGGGAAGGAAGGTGTGAGACTGATGGCTGGGGTGGGAGAGGGTGGGGGAAGGGTGGGTTTTGGGAATGGTCAGTGGTAGGGGGAGTGCCACCCCAGAAATTGGTGCAAGCAGCGAGGGCAACACTATCTCTGAACAGCAATTAAAGTCATCAGTGATTAAAAATCCATGTGAATTTCTGGCTCACCTTCTCTGTGCTTTCACACTGCCTTCAGGATGCTACCTGTACTCCTCTGCATTTCTGAAAGTTTATTTGGAAGGTTTTAGTTTTAAATGCATTGCCTTTTCACAAATTTGGGTTCAGATGGTCCTTTATACAGTTGAGTGTGTAGATTGAGCTCGTTCCCATCAACAAAGTGATTTCTGGTCTGAGTCCCTCTCTCTCTCTGTCTGCAATAGGGGGAGAGTGATATGTTCCTCACGGATCGAAGTCCCATGGATTAAACAGGGATACCCAATACATTTCACCCCAAAGTAGCACACTCCTTCATGCAGTAACAGCCCGTCCCTCAAAGCACTCAGAAGAATTAAACTGTCAGAAGCTGTGATGACAAGCTGCATGTCTAATAGCCTTGTCAGTTGTGATTTTAACATGTTGGGGGCCGGGGGGGCGCGGTCGTGTAAGACAGATTGGGTGAGTAGCCTGCTACCCTGCCCCAAGTTGTATGTGGCACCAATCATGTGAGCATAATTGATTGTTCCCTGTGTTAACTGCCCACACTGTAAAGCCTGAAGATTAGAAAGCCAGCTCCTAATTTGATGTTCATAACCCTGTACAATTGTCGGAAGTCCTCCTTATTCCCATACTCCAATCCTTTAGAAATCTGATGTTTACTTTCCTGATTGTTTCTGTAACTGCTTGCTAATTTGCAGTGTTGCTTGTATGTATATAAACAGCAACATTTAGAAGTTTCATAGCTTTGAAAAATAGTCTATGTTTCTATTTTTACTGCCTAAGTGAATCACCTCACACTTTCCCACATTTTCCTCTGTTAGCCACTTTGTCGCATGTTCGTTTAAGTTGCTGATTTCTGTTTTTGCAGCCTCCTTACAGGTGTGTACTTAACTGGCTTTGTAATTCAATAAGCCTGGTCCACTTCATCTCTGTCATTATTATAGTTGAACAATATCTCAGACTGTAGCCCTGCTGCTTGAGGCACTCAACCAGTCACATACTATAAACCTGAAACTGCCCATTTATCTTGCTCTTTCATTCCTGTCCATTAACCAATCCTCTTGTTCTTGCCCACGTATCAACCCACCACCACCTGCTTGAACCTTTAATAAAAACCAAAAGAACTGCGGATGCTGTAAATCAGAAATTGCTGGAAAAGCTCAGCAGGTCTGGCAGCATCTGTGGAGAGAAATCAGAGTTAACGTTTCAGATGTCCATGAACCTTTATCTTATGGATTAATCTTTTGTGGCACTTTATCCAATATCTCTTGGGATTCCTAAGTATACTGCATCTTTTGGTTCCCCTTTATTTAACCAACTTATTACACCCCTAATTAAAGTCTAATGACTTTAGTAAACACAATTCTCCTTGGAAAACTATATCAATTCTGTCTGATTGCATAAGACAGAATGTGGGCTACAGCAGTTCAAGAAGGCAGCTCACCACCACCTTTTCAAAGGCAACTAGGGACAGACAATAAATACTGACCCAGCCAGTGACACCCAAGAATGAATAAAAAAATTCTTTATTAAAACTTCCTTAAGAATAGGTTCCAGCACTTTTTGAGGAATGTTACTGAAGCTCACTGAAACGAGGGAGATTTTGTCAAAAGCAATTGTCTTATGTTCATCAGGACAAATGCAAGAATGCCAAATTTCAACTGTCACCATAAATTAAATCTCCTATAGTGAGACCGCCAGCAGAAACTGATAGTTCACTGTTCCTCCTCATTCTTTTTGACTTTTTGTTTCATGAGCCCATCGTGTTCTCCCATCCAGCTCCAAGGTGCTGTCTTCTCCTATGCCCATTCATATTATAGGTGATGGAGGCCATTTGATCCATCACATCCCTTTGAAAGAGCTCACCAATGAGTCCCACTTCCTTGGCTCCTAATCTCTGCAAACCTTTCCCAATTCAATTCCCTTTTTGAGGAATGTTACTGAAGCTCACTGGAAAGTGGGACATCTTGTCAAAAGCAATTGTCTTATGTTCATCAGGACAAATGCAAGAATGCCAAATTTCAACCGTCACCATAAATTACAATATGGAGAAAAGGATGCTGAGTGGTTGCCAAGTCAACTCTAATTGTCCACGGCAGTACTAAGGAGCAAGCAATGGGGATCTATGGACTCCCTAAATTCCAGATTAGTTTTTGTTTTAACAAGTGCAAGCCTTGGCTTTTGTCCTTTTGTTTTCAGAGAATGAGTCTCTGCATTTGTAAGTATATCACTTCAAACAAATGTAAATGAGCTTGGCTGACTATATTTATTTGGTTGTTAAGGTAATAGATTAGCACATTTAGGATTAATCAGCAAGTGTCCTCAGTCGTAGAATCACCTCTAACAGACAGTTTGTTTTGGGGTTTACGAGCTGAGTTATGTTGGGGACAGTGTGTGCTCTGCCTGACACAAACGATCAAAGGAAAAATCAAGAGGGATCTTGTGCTCAGTGACAGTGTCCTGTTATGACCAAAGTCTGGGTTCAAGTCCAACCTACCCCAGATCTTTGTCCTCATGCATTTGAACAGGTCAAAGAAATTCTACGTACACAAGCTCACACATCACCATACATTTTCTTTCTGCCAGAGAGGAATGAATCTGTGGAATTCTTTACTGAAGAGAGCTATCAAGACTGGCTCATTAAGTATATTCATGGCTGAGATAGGCTGATTTTTAATCAGTGAGTAGAATCAAGGGTTAAGGGGAAAAGGCAGGAAAGTGGAATTGACGATTGTCGGATCAGCCATGATCTCATTGAATGGTGGAGCAGACTCGATGGGCTGAATGGCCGACTTTTGCTCCTACATCTTATGAACATGCTAAGCTACTTGATCAGCCATGTGCCTGGCATCATTCCCATATTGAAACCTATGGAGATAGTAGGAACTGCAGATGCTGGAGAATCCGAGACAACAAGGTGCAGGGCTGGATGAACACAGCAGGCCAAGCAGCATCGTAGGAGCAGAGAGGCTGACGTTTCGGGCCTAGACCCTTCATCAGAAAAGGGGGAGGGGAAGGGGGTTCTGAAATAAATAGGGAGAGAGGGGGAGGCGGATAGAAGAGGGATAGAGGAGAGGATAGGTGGAGAGGAAACAAACAGGTCGAAGAGGCGGGGATGGAGCCAGTAAAGATGAGTGTAGGTGGGGAGTTAGGAAGGGGATAGGTCAGTCCAGGGAGGACGGACAGGTCAAGGGGGCGGGATGAGGTTAGTCGGTAGGAGATGGAGGTGCGGCTTGAGGTGGGAGGAGGGGATAGGTGGGAGGAAGAACAGGTTAGGGAGGCAGGGACAAGCTGGACTGGTTTTGGGATGCGGTAGGGGGAAGGGAGATTTTGAAACTTGTGAAATCCACATTGATACCATTGGGCTGCAGGGTTCCCAAGCGGAATATGAGTTGCTATTCCTGCAACCTTCGGGTGGCATCGTTGTGGCACTGCAGGAGGC